AGGGACCGCCCTTTTTATTCTAATTGTGGATGATGTGTTTCAGGTGGGAGGATCCCATCTCTCAGAGGCTGCCTTGGACGATTCCTGGAAAATAAGTTACCAGGTACCTAACTTAGGTTTTCTTTGCGGTCATCATATCGGTGGTTCATTGTGCCATCTGCTGGCATCCAGGAGAACTGCGGCTGGCGGATGGTAACTTCACACTGATTTTATGTTTGGCAGTAGGCACCCCCGGTGATCGATCGCAAGTGCGAACTTATCGAGTTGTGGGACCGCATGACTTCCGGTTTCCTCAGAACTACGATGTTTGCACACAAAACATGTTGTGCACGAGCGGCATCCACGGCATTGCCCTATACACATAGACCACAGCAATAAAATGATCTAGGATGACAGTAAGCCAGCACGTTCTTTATCTCAGGTGCCCCACTCAAGCGGCGGCCATATTGAGTGGGGCACCTGAGATAAAGAACGTGCTGGCTTACTGTCATCCTACATCATTTTATTACTGTGGTCTATGTGTATAGGGCGATGCCGCTCGTGCACAACATGTTTTGTGTGCAAACATCGTAGTTCTGAGGAAGTCATGAGGTCCCACAACTCGATAAGTTCGCACTTTTGATACATCACCCCGGCCTGCTTGTTGAGACCTCGCCAGCTCCCGATTTTTGCTCCGCTGGAATTAAAAACACAGATCGCTTTCCACACTTTCCGGTTCCGGGAAATGTAATCATTGAACGCCAGACCAGAAGATCGGCGCTGGTTTGTTTTTGCCGACTCTTCGGCTTTGTTTTTGGGAGGTTGCGGTTCTGTTTACGTCTTCCTGGCGAAACTTCATTGAAAAGGAACATTTTGTGGTTTACCAGATGCGGCACGTGCTGTTCGCTGACAAATGACTTGTAATGTATTGCAGATTCCTGGAACCTGGCCGTGTTCCTGAAGCTCCGCACTTGATATTGATTACCTTCATGTGGCTGGAAGTTAATTGGACGGGAATCGGTAATCAATGGGGATGCGATCGGCGTATTTAACATAAAACAAAGGAGTCCTAGATTGTCCCTCTTTTTATTAATATAGTTTTGGACCTCGGAATCAAAGATTGGGTTTTGTGAGACCATCAACCGGCTAATAAGGGAATGGAAATACATATCGGTGAAATGTTATATCGTCTTTCTGTAATCTCTTAAACAGCAGATTGGGATAGAAAATATCAGAACCAAAGATGAGGGGTGATCTCTTTGGTGCGGGTGGAGAGGTGTGGCCCCTTTGGTGCGGGCGGAGGGGTGACCTCTGTGGATGCGGGCGGAGGGGTGACCTCTGTGGATGCGGGCGGAGGGGTGACCTCTGTGGATGCGGGCGGAGGGGTGACCTCTGTGGATGCGGGCGGAGGGGTGATGGCGGAGGGGGTGACCCCATGCGTGTTCTAGTTTTTTTGGGGGGGGGGTTTTCCCCTTCATTGTCCAGTCAGCAAGCTGGGGTTGTGTCCTGCTGTTGGTTTAGTGCAAGAGGTCAAGGACCTGGCACTGCTGTCACATATGCCTGAATCACGAGAATGGCTGAACAGAATTACCAATCCTTTGGCAGGGAAAATAATGTACAGCAAAGCTCAGACTGGGAGAGAAAGAAGGACAAGGGTCCAATCAGTTGTGTTGCAGTGCACAGAGCATGCTGATGAGAAAAAGCAGAGTGACTGAGAGATGCGTTTTATCAGTCTGCTGCTTTTTCTTTTACTGTCCAATTACAGGCTGGGGGAGGGACAAGACCTGTAAGTGTTGCTGAACTGCAGCAGAGGAAAATCAGGTCTCTTGTCCTGCTAGAGCTGTGTAAATCCCAGGACTGGATGGACAGAAATCCTGTGGCAAATAAAATGGCTCCCATGTATGTGTTTCCCTTGTGAATTTAGCCAACCGAAGGATTTTCCACTGCTAATTACTTGCCGCTGGCAGCGTGAATCCCTAACGGAAAATAATTTTCCACTCTGCTCTGCCACCCTACAATCTTGCTTTGGTATCTTGCACAGCAAAATCCATCCACTGCAGACCCCTTTTCCCTGACGCACTTCTATAATTCATTGTTGTTTTTGCAGCCATGAAAGCGCGTAAAAAAATCAATATCGCAATCATGAAAATCATGGCAGCTGCCGCTCGTGATGCTCATAAAACGGCACGAGGCGACGATTGCATTAAAAAGAGATTTTCCCTGCCCTTTACCTCGGAATTGCATTGAGCGAACTTGTCACCCAGATCCCTACCTTGCGCTTTGATGCGTTTTGTCTAGGGAGCAGCTGGCGCTATTTTTAGTGCCCGCAGACGGCCTCGTGTTTTGTTTTTTTTCCACCCCCTCCCCCCCCTTCTACCGGAGCATGCGAGGACGGCCGTTATTGTAGTCAATTATTCTAACCCCGGAGTGAATGTTGAATTTCCCGTAGCATGAAGATGTTCTGCTGCTTGACAGGCGGTGTACAACGTACGCTAACACCCCAGATAATAAAGGAGAGGGAACAGAGACGCACAACGCATCTCATCATTCAGAGCCAGAGAACAACTGTGTTTTTTGATGTAATAAATCTATTGTTACAACCTCGCGGAGCAGGTAAGAGAGATGAAATGTCAGTTACAAAGTAATCGTATAAGGGAATTGGGCTGCACACAGGATCGCTGGCTATACATGGCTTTATTAAAGTGTGTGTAAACCCGTAATCAAAGTTTGCAGATATTGTTACTATTTATCAACAATAAGGGCTGATTTACAGTATAACGAGTTAGCCCAGCGAATAGCTGGAGGAATGACGTTCACGGCTCATTATTGCCACTAGATGGAGCCAAGGAGCATAGGAAATTCTTATGCTCCTCAGCTCCATCTAGTGGCAGTAAGGCACTGCGGACGTTGTAGCTGGACAAACTTTTCGTAGATCCGCCCCTAAGTATTATATACTGTATGTTTCTTCTTCCCCTCCTTTTTCTTCTTCCCCCCCC